ATAACCTACGGGTCTAGGCAGTTGAAGAGTCATAAGAAAAACTACCCCACCAATGACTTAGAACTTGTCGCGATTATTCACGCCTTGAAGATTTGAAGCAATTACTTGTATGGAGAAACCTTTCAGATCTATACCGACCATAAGAGCTTGAAAGACATATTCACTCAAAAATATCTCAACATGCATTAGAGAAGATGGATAGAACTCCTTAAGTACTATGATTGCAACATTTTATATCACCCGGGTAAGGGCAATGTGGTACCCGACGCAGTCAACAAAAAAAATGCAGGTATATTAGCTCATTTGATGGTTTCAGAATGCAGGGCAATAGGGGCCGCACAATAGGTACGGCTTCAGGACCTGAAGAGAGTCATATGTTTAGCTCACCTAACTATTTAACCTGAGTTGATCCGAAGAATAAAGAAAGCTCAATCCACTGATTCCACCTTAGTAGCCCTCAAGAAAGACGCAGAACAGGGAGTTATTTCAAAATTTCAAATCTCTACCGATGGGTTGCTTAGATTTTAGGACATGGTGTGTGCTTCAGATGATAGTGAGCTGAAAAAGAATATCATGATAGAGGCCTATAGCTCAAAGTTTGCCATGCATCCCGAAAGCACTAAGATGTATCAAAGTATGCGACCTAATTTTAGTGGAACATGATGAAAAGAGATATGACCGACTTTATTTCTAAGTGTCTGGTATGTCAGCAAATCAAGGTAGAACATCAACGCTCAGATGGTTTATTTGAGTCATTACCAATTCTAGAGTGGAAGTGAGAATATATCATAATAGATTTCGTGACAGGATTGCCTAGAACATGCTCAGAATATGATGTCATTTGGATAATTGTTGACCGGTTGACCAAGTCTTCCCACTTCTTAGCCATCAAGACGACTGACCCCTTGATAAACTAGTAAGAATGTATATCTGGAATATAGTCAGATTACATGAAGTATCGGTGATAGTAGTGTCCGACAAGGACCCCAAGTTCATTTCTCAATTCTGGTCTAGTTTTTAGCAAGTCATGGGAACGAAACTGTCCCTTAGTACTGCATTCCACCATCAGACTGATGGACAATCAAAAATGACGATCCACACATTAGAGGATATGCTCCGAGCTTGTGTTCTTGACTTCGCGGTTCTTTGGAATGATCATTTATCCCTAATAGAGTTCGCCTACAATAACAACTACCAAACAAGTATTGACATGGCTCCGCACGAGGCATTGTATGACTATCCATGCAGATCGCCGATCTGTTTAGAAGAAGTGAGTGATAGAAAGTTGTTTGGCCCAAATCTCGTAGAGGATACTACAACTAAAATAGTTAAGATCAGAAAGAACATCCAGACGGATTGGAGCAGACATAAGAGTTATGCGGATACCCGGAGGAGGGATTTAGAATTTGAGAAAGGTGATCGGATGTTTCTTAAGGTCACTCATTTTAAGGGAATTAGTAGGTTTGGCAGGAGGGAAAATTTAAATCCCCAGTTTATTGAGCTATTTAAAATCTTAGACAGAATTGGCACCACCATCTACAGATTGGTGCTACCTCCAGAACTATTTAGGATCCATAATATGTTCCATGTGTCCATGCTACGCAAGTACAACTCGGATCCCTTTCATGTCTTGACCAACGAGTCCCTTTTACTCTAGGAGGATCTGTCTTATGAGAAGATACTGGTTAATATTGTGGACCGAAAGAGCAGAGTACTCCGCAATCAGAAATTTTTTTTCGTTAAGATCCTATGGCAGAATCACACAAAGGGAGATGCCACATGGGAGCTAGAACTAGATTTCAGTGCCTAGTATTCTCAACTGTTTGATTGAGTGGGAGAGAGACAAATTTGAGAAACCAAATTTCTTTTAAGGGGATGAGAGTTGTAATATCCTTAATTAATTTTAAAAAGATTTAAAATTAATGTATAAAATTTAATTTTTTAATTTATAAATTTTTATTTATTGTAAAAATTAGGAAAAAATAGGTGGAGAATGAAATTGAAAATAATTTTGGAAAAAATGGGTGAAAATTTGGGTTATGGGGGTGTTTTTGAAAGAAGAATCAGAAATTGGAGGTCAAAACGTAATTTAAGAAAAATGTGCCACGTAGAACCATCCAGTCAGCATGCCCAATGAATTGAAGCGTCCCGCGTGGCGTGGCGTGCTGACGCAGTGCCACACTGAAGGCCATGTTGACAATCTGCGTGTCCGCGATCGGATGGCCCAGATTTATTCCTGTGCGCGTGGATTATCCGGATCTGTTCCCTCCTCAGGCGCGATCGGACGTTCGTGATTAAACGCAATGAATAGTTTAGATTCATTCTCTTTTTAAGTATGATCGTACGGTACAGATCAAATCCCGATGAACGGTCTAAATTTATTTCCTATTTAAATGCGATCGGACGGTACTGATCAAACGCGATAGACGACCGAGATTAAAAGAAAACATATATAAATATCTCACTTCATACCAAACACTAACCCTAGCCGCTAGCTCCCCCTGCTGGAGAAGAAGAACCAGTCTCTGGGAAGGGAGCCGACCGCCGCTGACCGTTGCGCCGAAGCCACATTCGACCGATAAAAAAGGTAAAAATTCTCCCAATCACTCGAAATTTGATTTTGAACACACTCATTGCCAAATCAGAGTCAAAGGATGGCGGATGTGCCGAAAACTGCGGGAAAAATAAAAATCTACCTTCGATAAGGCCCTTCCCAATTTCCGTTTCGTGCAATTTTTTTACTATTGTATTCACCACTTTGTTTCCCACGGGTTGACCGAAGAAAAATGCCCAACTGCGTAGGTGAGCTGACGAAGCCGTCGCACCAAAAAATTTTGCCATCGGTAAGCCTCTGTTTTTTGACTTTTTTCGGCCAACCTAGCCCCTTAACATGTTTTCTCATAGGAATGAGTAAAAAATCGGTCGAAATCGGCCGACACTGGCCAGAAACAGCCAGTCTGAGGCAAACCGCCACCGTGGGTGGCGGTGCCGTCGCCGGAGCACAGCGGTGTCGCCATGCCGGAATTCTGAAATTGGCTGAAAAGGGTTTCTAACATCGATTTTGGATTTTTTGGAGGTATTTCTAGGTACTTAGAGCGTGTTTCAATTCCTGAAAAAAAATTCAGAAAACCCAAAGATCGCCAGTAGGCATAGTTAAAAACTTAGCATTTCGGATATCGATTCAAATAAGAATCCCTCACCTTATTCCTTGTTATGAAATTAAAATTTAATTATAAATAATGTAGTATTTTGTATAACTTAGAAAATCTCGATAATTAATCATATGTTACTAATGGAGCCAGAACCGGTTATTATTCACTGTTAATTCTGTTTGATTAATTTTACTGTTTCAAATGCATAATATTACATTGGAGTTGATATGATAATTTAGTTGTGCATCCTTAATGCATGTATTGTTTGTTTTACGTGATTTACAATTAAATTGTAAAACTGTAAATTAAATATAAACAGAAAATTGCTTGATTAACTGAATGGATGAATAGTAAACTTATTGAATATCCGGAGAGATGGTGGATGGACCAGGTACATAGAGAACTCTACCATGAACGTTGTCTCATATCGGACGAGGTATCGATAATTGGTGTTTTGGCGCTCATACTGGACGGGGTATGGAGACGGTCCCGTTTTACCCTCATGCCGGACGGAGTATTGAGGGATGATAGTTTTGGTGCTTATACCGGACAGGGTATGAGGACAGTTGGTTATTAAAATATTGAATAACAGTTCATGTGTAGTGAGATATCTCTATGGACCCTCATGAATACTAGTAGGCTGGTAAAAAGAAAATTATTGTTTTAATTAATTGAATATGAGATTATGATATTATTGTGTTATCACTTATATATGTCAGTTTTGAAAATTTCGCTACGGTAGATATATAATAAATAATTTTACTTAAATTAATAACTCAATTAGTTGTTTTCATAATTTTTACCAATTTTCATTTCTATATCGGTGAGTAGTGTGATATTCTTACTTGGTTATTGTACCTTACTCTTTCATTAACTATTTTAGATCAAGATGACCAAAATCCAGATGCTGATCCATAAAATGGTTGCGAATAGAATGTTCAATTGTTTACTTTTCAATTATTTCTTTGATTTTTCGTTATTCTTTAAGAATGATAATTTTCATAGCCTATTGGGTATTATGAATTATTTTGTAAGGAATGTAAACCCTAACGTTATTATTTTGCTTCCGTAATCCATTTACAATTTATTTTTCTTTTAAGTTTCGGGCTGTTGTATAGATAAATTATAATTTATATTGTAAGTTTTAAATATATTAATAAATTAAATTATTAATTAAAAATATTTTTAATAAAAATTATTTGATATTTAATATAAATAAGTGTAGAAAATATGTTATTTTAAAAAGAAACAAAAATCTTATCTTTAATAAGACAGTTTTTGAAATTCTAAATATAATTTTTTAATAAAAAATAAAATCATTTTAAAAAATTACACATTATAACTTATGTCTTTAAAATTATTAAAAATAGATTTTAACTTTAATTATTATAAAAAATATTTTATATTTTATCTATTTATTTATAAAAATGCTTTTGAAATTCAGAACTCATAGCCAAAAACTTACGAGGTCTTAAACACCTAATAATTTCGTAGTTTGATGATAAATTTTTATCATTTAACTTTGATGAATAGCTTTTAAGACTTTTAAGGAATAAATTTAATTTTTAAATTAATTTAGCCATTTAATACGTCAAAATTAAAGAGGACCACTAATAAATTTAAATTTAATTTGTTAGTGTGATGATAAAATTAAATTAAATTGAGAAGTTGAGACTAGAAGGTTATAAATAAATTAAAAAAATTACGGGAGTAAAAGTAAAACCCAAAAAGAATCTTGGTCCCGTGCTACACTCTGACGTCTGATAATTGGAAAGTGCGAAGTCAAACGGCAGGCGGTGACATCAGCCTCATTGTGAACAATATAAATAATTGGCTTGTATTCCTCCATCAAACCAGGTAAATAATTTTCTGGATTTGATTATCTCGCTCTCCCTCCGTTGCTCGCTCGCTTGCTCGCTCGCCGCTCGCTCTGTGAAGAAGAAAGTCGATCCGTACTTCCCCGTCTCAATCGAAGTTTTATTCTCGCAGATCTAGTCCCAGGCCGCAATAATGTCGGACAACTCTGGTTGTACCGTTTACGTAGGTCAGTCTTCTTTCTTTCTTGATTTTATTTTTGAGATTTCTTGGTTTTTTTTTCTTTTGTATATTTCGCCAGAATTTACTTTTAGCGCAAGGGAATGGAACGGATTCTCTTGGATCTATCGGCTGATTCCTGAAAAGTTTATTGGAGGAAAACGGAAGGTTTCCTGTGAAGCAAACGGGACCTAGAGAAAAGGAGTTCCGAATTGTTCTAAGATGTATGTAGTTTAGGGGTTATGGAGGACTCTTGAAATGATCTAGTTAATTAATTGCTTAATTTTGCTTACGTTGGGGTTGGTTTTAATTGCTGATTAAAATTCGCGTGATTAATATAAATGAGCAGCATGCCTTCCATGTAGTTTCGATATTTCTTCACCTTCTGTTGTTATGTTTTTCTAGATTCGCCTATGCCATCAGGCTAATCGAGAAATTGAAAATCTCCGATTCATCATATCTGACATTTTGTTGGTTTCCCTTGGTTTCATACTTATGTTGAAATCACAAACTTAATGGTCAGTTTGATGATGTTTATGTTTATGATTACGCTATGTTGATGGACGCACGTTAATGCTTGCTTACTTATATGTCAAGGTGACAAGGTTAATGGTAAGATTTATGGTATTCCTGTTTATGACTATGCTGTGCTTATGGATGCATGTTTGAGTTGACATGCACTTTACTTTTCTGTCAATTATCTTGTTCTGAGGAAAGAGTATATATGGAATGCTCTATATGGAAGCCATTTGTGCTGCATCAGGATCATTGTGGATGATGCATATGTCGGAGTAAGGTGTATATAGCATCTTATGTGGAAAAGATTAGTTCGTATTTATGTATAGGCTGTATTTTCTGGATCTATGATGCACAATTGGCGTTTCCCATTATTGGCCTCAATTTTTTATTAGGAAGCTTTTTGTTTGCATTTTGTTTTTGTGGGTAGATCAGAGAATTTGATACCTGTGTTTTTGTTTATCACCTATTGTTTTTCCTTCTTGTTTTCCTATCAGAGGAATTCTAACTTAGTTACAATTCAATTCTCTGGACAGGTAATCTTGATGAGAGGGTGAGTGACAGAGTTTTATATGATATTTTAATTCAAGCTGGACGCTTAGTAGACTTGTACATTCCTCGAGACAAGGAAACTGATAAACCCAAAGGTTATGCATTTGCGGAGTATGAAACCGAGGAGATTGCAGACTATGCAGTGAGGCTTTTCTCTGGTCTTGTGACTCTTTACAAGCGGACATTGAAGTTTGCGGTGGGTCCTCATTATTTCATTCTTCTGTTCCTTATCTATGTTTTAGGTCTGTTAAAAACAATATTTGATTTTTCAATCACCATGCTCCTGTTTTATTTTTCTAGCAACTCAAAGTAATCTGATAAACTTTTGATGTTGTTGGCTACTTCCAATTGCAATTGTTGCAAACACATCCTGGAGTGGTTGATTGCTCCTGTCAAGTGATTAACAGATTGATGCATTAACATGTGTTTGATGAAATGACCTTGGAATAGAAACAAGAACGGTGTTGGAATAGCAATGACCTGCAGATATAGTCTCTAATGACACAGACTCTTTTTGTTCTTTGAAAATGTAATGAAATTGGCTTTTGATGAACAGATATCCGGACAGGACAAGCCAGCACAAAGTGCCTCCATGACGACTACTCCTGGATCAAATATTCCTCATAAATCAAGACGTTACACTGTGTCCAATATGGATAGCCCTCAGCATTCAGTGAAGGTGTCACCATCCTGCAAGGTTTCAGCTTATGCTTCAAATTATTCTCAAGGTATATCCCTTGCTTTTAATGTTTCTTTGTTTCTCTCACACGCTTATCATTCTTTGAAAAATCAACATGTTTGTTATATTTTTAGTTGAACGCTTTCTAAAGAAACTTCATTTTTTATTCAGAGCCAGCTCCCCCTGGTGTAAAACACCACATTAATGGGTATGGATCACATTTCAATGGCATCAATTATGAATACAGTCGAAGGGTTTTTGGGTCAACATTGGATAGCATTAGCCACTTTAGGTCACGACGGTTTGATACAACTCACCCAATTTCATATCGTTATTAATAAAACCCATTATGTGCTTATCGAAGGAAAACGAAGAATTGTCTCTTGTTGTACTATATTGGCGGGCTACATAATTACTCAGGCAATAGATGGTGACTTGTTAGTTGAAGGTTAGTGAAAGATGCTTTGTAGCTTTCAGTTTAGTTTGAGTTTTTAGTAATTTACTCCATAGACTTAACTAGCATTTAGTCCTTGTATGTTCCCTCAATGTTGTAGTCCAACTAAAGCTTGTTTCTTTGCCGGGTTGCTGATGACTAATATTG